AGATGGGATGAAACAAGAAACTGCAAATTTGCCAGGGAGCTCTTAAGTTATTCTGACAACACCGCAGCAAACAAATACTTGACTATGACTAGACAGAATCTGCGCCCAGTCACAGGCATTCTGACTGGTCATTGCCAAGTACGAAAGCATATCCATATCATGGGGCTGTCAGAATTCGCACTCTGCAGAGGGTGCGACCAAGAAGATGAGACCATCGAGCATATCCTTTGCGATTGCTCGACGCTCTCATTTATTAAAAGATTTGTGTTCGGCGAGCATCGGCTAACACCGGCCGATATAAGAGAAGCACCTCTTGGCGACGTTGTCAACTACATTAAATCTGTAGGCTGGCTCACGAGCTAGCAGGTGCCTATCTTCTCAAGAGGATGCATAATGGGCTCAATGAGGCCTAAGTGCCGTGGGGCAACCCACCCTCCACACATTACAGATACAGTTACAGACACCATTCCTAAAAAATTAGGCTATTTTAAGATTTTTTTCTTCTAAAAACACAGGGTAAATAGAAGATTGAATGGTTAAACTATTATGTAATAGTGGTTTGATTCCTCTTAAAAGCCAATAACCACAGCATGCCTACCAAAAAAAAAAAAAATTAGACTACTAACTTAAAAACTTTTTTCTACTTAGGAACATGGAACATTCTCCGTCTTTGTTTATGGTGCAATTTTAGCAAAATTTTTAGAAGTGGGGAAGGTTTCACTTGCTTAAGAGGCCATGCATATTTTTTTATATTAATCTTTACTTTCTCCAATTATACCATTAATCAATTTTATCCAAATTTTGGCTCAAAACAACTGTCATAAGAACAAAAAGTGTGTACGCTGTGGAAGACACCGCGCTTCAGACTGCACCAAACACATAGCTAAGGATAAACCAACTTTCGCAAACCGCGGTGGAGAACATCCCACAAATTACAGAGGATTCTTTAGTATGCCCAATACCTAGGGCAACACTCCAAGGTCAACCCCAAACAGCATCAAGACCAGCACCGAAACCAAAAGCAGCGAAAGTGATGCCAGGAATATCATATTCCCAGTCTGCAAACAACGCTACGCAACACAACGCTACGCAAAATAACGTCAACCAAGGAACGCAACAACTTGCATGTCAAGCAGCCATTAAACAAATTCTGGAATCGTTTGCACAATTGGTGCAAAAGGTCGTGATGCAATTTAGAAAGCAACAACGGAATGTATGTTACACCCCTAGTTAGACCAGGACAACTAAAGATAGGCTCATGGAACTCTGAGTCTCCTAATTTTTTATGACTAATCGCCATCCTCGTCAAAAATTAGAACATTACCGAATCCCAACACCAGATAACCTGAGGTCTATGGAGGCCACCACGATAGTGATTAGCACTTCTCACAGGGACCTAAAAGTATCGTCGGCCTACGTTAGACCTTATTTTATATTACACCATAAAGACCTACTAGTACTTCTACCACCAGACGTAAAAGACATTATTATTGGAGACTTAAATGCGAAATCAGCTCCTGGAACAACGTGTTGCAGAAATCTAAAGAACGGGTTCTGGATAACTTCCTAGACGGTTGTGCGGTGATCGGACTACTAGAATACACCCACTATTCTGGAAGAGAAATACCAGAATAGGAATACCAGATGTCATAGATATTTTCACCCGAGCAGGAGAAAGGGCAGATACTTACTGCGAAAGAAATGTCTAAAAGAAACTAAAACCAATTTAAATGGATACTGGGATCAAACCTGGTTCTGGGAGACGTTGACCAGGCACTTAAAAATCTAGAGCAAATCATCCAGCAGTCACTGGCTACCAGTACGACTACAGTGACAGAAGCCATATCTAATCACGGCAAAGAGGAGGGCAAGCAGGAAAATGGCATTCCGAACGGGAGACCCAATGGACAAACGACGAACATACATTCTAGAACATAGAATCAGCGAAGAACTAAAACAAGAGTCTGATAGGAGTTGGAAAGAATTTATCGGAGAACTTACCCTTAAAGTTCTGGATTATAGAAACTACAAAAAATCTTGACAGAAGACATAAAACTCATAAGCTCATCTATGGCTAAAGCTGATGCCTTTGCATACTCGCTAAAAAAAGGATGTCTAAAGACGAAGACTTGGAATTAACCGAAGAAGTATAAGACGAATTCGCACTCTCATCTCCAGAAGAGGCAAGAGGCATCATTAAATACCTGCCAAAAAGATTCATGAAAAACACATAATTTCGAACCGTGCGATTAAACACTTACCGCTGAAAGCCAGAGTCTACCTCAAAGCCAATACTGTGAAAACAAGCATATGTGATTATGATCCAGAAACCAAACAAGGACCCCTTATTTCCTAAAACTATAAGCTCATTAGCTTGCTCCCAGCTATGGGTAAAATTGCGAAAAGAGTAATACTAAAAAAACTAAAGAAATAGGAGATTTGAACATCATACCCGAGAGAAACACTCCATCGAATTGCAAGTCCTAAGACTTGTCAAAGTTATTAGGATTCAACAGAAATCAGTCTACAGGAATCATATTCTTGGATTTCGCCAAGGCATTCGATGAAGTATGGCACGATGGGCTGACTTACATGATGAAAGACCAAATGTACACAGCAGGTACACGGCGGAAGACAGGAACACGTCCTATCTAGACCTGGAATTCTGGAAGCAGGAGTAACACAAGGGGCGGTACTGTCACTACTGCTGTATACCATATATATAGCTGATATACCCAAGACAGATCAAACTACCATTTCCCCCTATGCTGACCACCCAGCGAAAGAGATAGAAGAATGGTGCATAAAATGGAGGATCACGATCAACGCAGAAAAGACTCAGGCTGTTCTGTTTAAGAAGAGATTACACCCATCTGGAGAAGAAGTAACGATGAACAGACAAGATATCCCGTGGACCGAATCCGCAAAATTCCTTGGAGTTGTATAGACGAAAAACTCACTTTCACCAAACACGTGGAGATGGTAGTCAAGAAGACAACAAGACAGATCAAGACTGAACTACTTGATAAAACTTCTGCTGAAGATAAAAATGCGACTTATTCATTTAGTGATAATTCATATACTGATGTATGCATCCATGGCCTGTAAGACCAACAGAAAGAAAATTCAAACGCAACAGAACATTAGCTTCAGATGGGCCGCAAACGAGAAATGATTAGGAGAGAACTAGAATCTAAGAGGGTTTTAGACCTCATATCGAAGACACACCAGGCCACGAAAATAATAACAAAAGGTTCAACAATTAAGACGCTCAAATGTATATAAGATTCTCTTTCAGAATACTGACAAACGAGTTATTGCCTGGGTGAGAAGGTTCTCTTAGTCGCCTACGGAGACTAGAAGAGCTTTCACAGGCGGAAACTTACAGAATGCGCACACAAAAGATACACAAATAGACGATTAGATAGGGAAATACCTTTAGCAAACCGTTTAAATGACGATTCTATGCCATATTTTACAGCCTTTTAGAAGGAGACCCCCAACAGAGAAGACAGTAGGAAGGATGGGTGGGGTCATGCAAGTTTTGATCAAGTATAACAGGATGGCAACCTTCCCGACTTGGGCTCAAATTCAATGTGTGTGCAGCGTGACACATTTTGTAGTCAGAAGAGCGACTGTAACTCAAACACTCTGCAACATGAAGAAATTACTAATACCCAAGATAAGTAAATATACGCGTGTCTATTTATACAACTATTGCAGCAACGTTGGCATCGGTGCGGTATCTACCTGTTTTTTTTTTTTTTATCAATCTATCAATGATGAACTAGCAGCGCTGTCTTTTTATCCAACGTTGCTGCAATCGATGCAACATCAATCCATCATTTCAATGTATGGTTTTTCCCATTATATGTGATAACTGACAGCTGGATTGTGGGAATTAAGCAGAATTGAGGAGTTGGTTAATTATTTAATAGTTCTATGGTGAGAAAAATCAAAAAATGGGCTTCTAAAAATACATACTTTCAAATTAAGGTATATATAGATAAATTCAAATAATACTATAAATACTAATTTTAATCCAAAATGTCAACTGTTGTTTATTTCAACGGTCAACCATAAATAAACCGAATCAAACACAAAGCGTTCAGGGTCACATCGGTGAAACAGAGATTCCAACAAACCGATAGAAAAAAAGACACACGTTATGTGTTTCAGGTACTATTTTGCAAGTCATAAATTTCTAGTTTTGTAAGTAATTCAGTTTCTAACCTTATTTAGTACTGACATTTTAAAAAGACCCATTTTGTTTAATTTTGTATACAATCTGCCTTCTATAACTCTAAAAATTATTCTATATTTTTGTTCTTGAAATACAGTTCTAAATTAGTTTAATCTAAATTAGTGATTTAAAATTTCTTCATGTAATATTGGATTTTCAGATAATATGTAATAGATTTACAAACATTTTGATGTATAACGACTGATTTTCTTGAAAATTTTCAAATTATGTTATATAATAATATTACCTTCATAGCACAAAATTTTTACTAGTAAAATTATAACAATCAAAAACTAAAAATTTACCTGTAGACTGGTTGACGGTTATGTTCTTTAACTCAAGTATCTATTGAATTTTTTTTAATTTTAATTTTATTTTTTAACTAAAAATTGCTAGTACTATGTTGTTTTACTTTTTGACCAGAATGACTAAGACCTGGGGCGTATTTCATAATAAAACTATATTGCAACTTTTTTCTTTGCACTTTGCATATTTAACTAAATTTATGTTTCATAAAAGAATAATTTGACGAAATAAAAAGTAAAATTTGAGAAGCTATTTGAAAATTAAAAATAAAAATTTAATAATCAGCAAAGTTAAAGATGTTATTTCACGAAACTCAAATATTTTGAAAAAATTTTGTAAAAAGTTGAAAAGTAGTTTTATGAAATAGGCCCCTAGTGCAATGTTTCAAATTAATTTTTAATTTTATTTTCATACTTATATTCCATATATGTAGTTATATTAAATATCTCACCTCTCTTGTATGATCTGTGGGCGACAAAGTCTCTCTCATCGACAGAGACATCAACAATTCTTGAGTTAACCTCTGCTTTCCAAAAGCTACTGCACCACTTGTAACCATAATACATTCTCTGCCTTCATTTTGACATTCAGCAACCTACAATAATATTTTAAGTAAACAAAAAAAATTTAAATATTGAATCTAGGGAATAGAGGATGAAACCCAAAATACAAGTATGCCATTAATATAATGTATAGGTTATTACTGTTATAAGTTATTGTTTACGGAAGACCTATTGGACAACCTTACATATAATAGCTGTCTAATTCTCGAGAATGAATTAAACAAACAATATAAATTAGTAGACGGTTTTTTTCAATCAAAAATTTATAGAAGTATGATTTATGGTCTATTTATACTCCCTTAGTATTCGTATTAGTATTATTATTAAGCATTAAACTGAACAAAATATTCAAAAAAGGTATTTATACTCATTTTATAATTAGTATTAGTACTTCTTTTTTAATCCTAATAAGATATAATTCTGCAATCAATATAATGTATGGTTACTAAAGATATGTGTAAGAGGTCAGTTGTATTCCTAGAATATCTTTTAAGATATTACAGTTTTAAATGTGTTTGTATTAATATTTTTATTAGTTAATTTTATTTAAAAATATTATTCAAAAATAGGTTTAACGGATTTTTGACTTAAATTTATATCAGATAAAAAGAAGCAGAAATTTGAGACAAATAAAAGGAGAATAGAATAGAGATAGAAAAGAGGCTTTTGATTCCTCGTGATGACATGTTATTTGTTATCCTGTCAATTTTTATACTCGGTAAACACTGCTGATATTACTCGTATTTCTCGTACTCATAGTATAAATTGTCTCTGGTATAAATCATGTATAAATCATATAAATCATATAAATCATATAAATCATATAAATCATATAAATCATATAAATCATATAAATCATATAAACCATATAAATCATATAAATCATATAAATCATATAAATCATATAAATCATATAAATCATATAAATCATATAAACGCTTTTTATTTTTCTACGAATAAATCCGAGAATGAACATAAACAACATCTGACAACATAATCATATGTGGACTGTTAATTGTCATTATCCGTTGCCTATAGGCCTTTTCATAATCTAATGAGCGCAAGCCCAGTCGCCTTGTTGAAATAGCGGCATTTCAAAAAGTTCGTGCTGTTTTGTCAACAATGACAAATCAATTATTATAAAAAATCGTTGATGGTGATTCACTTTTTTATAACTTTGTGGAAGCTCAAAGTTGTGAGCAATTGCAAAAGGTGGTTGAAGTGTCACGAACGTTGCAACAAAAAAAGTGTGCTGATTGAGAGGTTAGGTATCAATACTTTTATACTGTGAAAAAATTTATGAAAACAAAGAATAATTATTACTATTAGTACTTGCAAAAACACTTTAATTAATAGGAGAGTTAATCACGAGTATAATCAAGAAACACATTATTTCATATTTTGAGGATTAACATGACATTTTTTAATCATATTACTGTGTATACCGAAGTAGTATTTAATACTTAATACCAGATAAGGATTTTTCTGTTGGGCCACTTCCTCCTTAAAAATGTTGTGAACAAATACAGGGTGTCCCAAATAAACATAGACACATACAGCATTTGTTGTATCTTTTACATCCTTCATTATTAATAATTGTTTTGTAGTCTATATTAAATTTTTGTTTTTTTACCGAACAAATTCTTTTTTTAATTTTATTTAATGTCAGTTTTCAAATAAAGAAAACGGCAGTGTTACTTAAAAACTATACATTTTTAAAAAGTAGATGAATCTCTCTTTTAAATGCCATCAAAATATACAGGGTGTTCCATTTAAAATAATACATATTTTTTCCATTCAAGTTGGCCAACATTAATGGATCACCCTGTATTGATGTGATAAAATGTGAACAAACTTGAAAAAAAAATGGATAAACGAAATCAATTAGTGGAAACCCTAGAGCAATTAATAAGCTGTGCATTTACATTTAAAATCGATCACTCTTATTTGGGACACCCTGTATAAGTATCTATCTTTAGTAACATCATCAATCGATCGAAAACCTTTGTCTTTTTGATCACATTTGTTCACCCATAATACACATTTTGAACATGTTTTAATATGTATTTTGCCTGATGATTTGGATAAGTTTTTACCATATTACAACCAAGCCTTTGGAAAATTTATAAAATAATATGTATTGCCTTTGAATGATTTATACCGTGTGTCACTTTTACATACTCTGTAACAACACCGTTTCGTTGTTCCTTTCTGTACAGATAACATAATTATAATTGACTACAAACATTTATTTTTCAATTAGACACTTCTTATAACTTAATTTTTTCTTATTTTTTTTTTTAAATGAATATACTTAAATTAATATTTATTGAATATAATTTTTGTCCACATGGAAATTTTAACATATTTGTTCACCAAAACAGTACGAAGAAGATAGGTGATGCTGACGCATGCGCATAAAAAAGGCCAAATACGTCATTGTTTCATTTGATATAAAATAGGAAATTTAAGATTTAACATAAAAGTTAAACCTGTCAATTATTAAGCATAAATATTAATGATAACAATGATCATAAATCGAATATAAATGTACCCATTATATTGTGAAGGTTCAACCGAATCCTTAATCATAATACTAATTGTATAAATAGACCTTTAATAGCAAACAAACAACTGGACTGGCACCCAGTGAATTGTAGTTTTAGAGTACATAAATAACCAATACATGATTCTTCCGATAATTTGGGCCTTTTTGGTTATAAATACTTGCATGTGATGTTATTTACAACTATTTAAATGAGATTTGAGAAATAATACTTTACTAACCTGTTCAACGATTGAAGCAAGTCTTCCAAGAGCCAACCCATGTTCATCTTCTCTGGTGATAACGGCACTACCTAGCTTCACCACCAGTCTTCTGGCATATTTCAATTGACTTCTATCAGTGAAAGTAGATGTTTTCCTGTCAACTAAGCCTTGTTTATCAAATTGGGTCTGTAAAAGAAAAAGATTATTAAAATATAGCTCTTTTAATTAATTCAAATGAATCATTAAATGTTAATATTAATTTGAGTATATTATCAATTTATTATTTATTATTATATAATAAAACGAAGATTTTGTATACAATGTAAATTTTTCTATTTTAAACAATAAAGAACCTTTGTTTGATGTGTAATTTTACAAATCGGAGGACTATATTTTGTCATTTCTATTTTTTTTTTCTTTGCTTTCGGTGTTATATCAAACTACTGAATAATATCAATCGTAAATAAATAATTACAGAGTCAGCTGTTGAAAATGATTTGAAAGTTCTCGGAACATTTTGCTCGTTTAGGAGATTTAATAGTTTTCTTTGTTTTATAGTTTAATACAGTGTATAACTAAACTATATGAAAATGATTTAGAAAATTCTTTATATTGGATCGATAGGCAAATACGTCAATAAGTGTTCGATGTTATTGGAAAATTATAGATCTGTGACTTGTCTCATATTTTCGAATATGCATTTCAGATCACTTTTTACTATAGTTTTTCCATTATTAATTGCAGAACACTATTATGTGAGGAATAATCAATATTTAATATATTCGTACAGCACTCATGCCAAATTAAGAAACGAAAAATAATGTTTACTCCCCTTATAAAATGTGGTAAATATCAAACGAACCGTCAGTCCACGTGTACTTGATTTATGTGAATCAAAATCCATCATCTCCGTTGTTTACCAATGAAAATATCGAATCATAAACTTAAATACACTGTATTGGCCGAAGGCACAAGTGTTTAAAAACATTCCTGGAAGACAGTCTGCAATATCAGTGGAGTAGTTTCGTATGGAGTGGTTGGTTTAATTTAGAAAATTCTTTTAATAAAAAGAAATATGACGTTCTTTAGAGCATGGGCAAATCAAGATAATGAAATTGCACAGAGTAGTGAGATTAAAGACAGGTATGAATTTAACAACAAAGATTTAGATATACAAACACAAGTTATTTTAAATATATTCGAATGTTTAAAAAAGGAAAATATTCAGCAATCTGATAATGCAATCAAAATAATCATAATAAGACTGGCTGAATTAACTAAAGTAAATAACTTAACCATTTATCGAGTAGTCACGAAAGGGGTTGCTGTGGATCATTCACAGAACCGAAAAATATGTGATGAAAAACTGAAATCAGTTGACAAAGCTACTTAAGATTTTATACGTAAGACAATGTATAGTTTATATAAGGTTAATACAAGGATAGTTCAATGGTGACAGGACTATTTGCGTCAAATAAAAGACTACAAAAGTTCTAATAGACACATACTTTATCTAGATGAAACATGGTTTGACAATCACGATGTAGTAAATTCGGTTGGACTGACAATAGAAAAAATTGCTGTTTGAATGGACCATGTTCTAAAGAGAAACGCATTATAATAATACACGCTGGAAGCAAAGATGGTTTCGTGTCTTATGCTTTATTATTATCTGCTAAAAAAAAATAAAAACTGTGCAGCTAATTATCATGAAGTTATGACAGCAGAATTATTTAAAAAGTGGTTTAATGAAGAGCTTTTACCTAACAGTCCACCACAGTCAGTAATTGTTATGGACAACGCATCCTACCACTCGCGGCAGCTCCTTAAGATACCAAATAGTAGAAGTAACGAAGCTGAAATTTTAGCATTTATATCTAAAAAAAAAGGCCCAACAAACAAAGAATTAGCTTACTGTTATTAAAGTTATACAGTTAGAGAAAATGTATTATATTAACAAGTTGTGCAAAGAACAGGGTCATACTCTTCTCAGACTACCTACTTACTATTGCATATTTAACCCTATAGAATTAATATGGGCAAACGTAAAATCACAATTAAAAAAATGTAATCAGTTTCCATAACTGAATAAAGAGGTTGTAGAACTCGTAAAGAAAGTTCTAGCAGAAGACCGCTAAGAGCTTTGGAAAAACTGTTCTGAACATGTTATCAAAGAAGAAGATGAGTATGTGGTATTACCCTAACTAAATGATGACTCCAGTTTAGACGATTCTGACTGCCATGATTATTTTAAAGATGCTTTGGAATTGAAATGTTTTTTTTTTTGTTTAATTTGCAAAGAATTTATTTTCCTTTATGGTTTTTGCTTTGAAATTTCGTTTTCCAGAAAAAACGAATGAGGTGCAAAAAGGGCTCAGTTCACGTCTGGTACCCTGTTTAAACCAAACGCCCTTACAGGAAGGTACATTTTACTCGTCTATTTACGTTTTATAGTAACACTACAAATAAGTGCATCTGTCTAAATAACTGCTGTTTAATTTATAATGATTTGATTGCCTTTTAACGAATACCTACTTTCTCGCATATGATATATTTTTAAAAGTATTTATAAAAATAATAAATTTATAAAATGAGGTGTCTACGCCTATGGTAGATAAAAAAAAATTGTCGGTATGGGTTCGAAGCGAGTTTTTATATTTTGCAATTGATATTGGAAGAACTAAAACAACATGGATTTTGCGCAACATCCACGATTTGGAGTTGGAGTTGGACATTCGATTGTGTCAATATGAATTATTGACACAATCGGTCCTCAAGCCAAGTCCCTTTGTAGCAATAAGTACTGCTTTTTTTTTGGTATGACTATTATTTTCGTCGCGGAGCCCCCACAAAGTCTTTGCGGAGCTCCTGGGCTCCGCGGGCCACACTTTCAGTAACGCTGCTTTAGATATTCTCTTTTTAACATATTTTTTTGGTATAAAAGGCTCATAAATCGCAAGAATTTTCTTCTCGGAGGGGGCCATGGCCTATATGACCCCCCTGGAGCCGCCCTTGATTTGAGGGACCTGAGCCATTTTGCGGTATCAGAAGTAACACAACAGAAGACAGATTAAAAAAAATTGGGCCGTAGAAGAACCGATAATTGGAACAATCTTTTGGGGTTAAGATACGCCAACTGAACGAAGTTTATTTATCCAGCTTCAGGAGTAAACAAGTATAAATTAGTAGCATTTCGGCCTGTACAATTGTTGTTGTAAGTAGATTTGTTCTTATATATTAAGCAAATAGTCTCTAACAAGTATAAAGAGGTTAAAGTTATTATTTTGTATTTGAGGAACAAAATAGTGGTTTGCAGGAACAACGCCTCTGTACCTTACACAATTACCATTTTTGAAGTAGAAATACACTATGGAAGAGATCTCTTTGCTGCAGAAGCCACAAAACTGAATTCCATATCTTAGATTAGCTTCTATCAGTGCAAAATAAACATACCTTGCTTGGACCGGAAGAACTGGAACGACTGAAATGACTGGAAGGGTCGTTTTAGGTATCAAGAATATTTCTTAGATGCATTAGCGATAGAAGGGGGCACAATAAATCTTTTAGCTCACTGTGCAACATAATATAACATAAGGCTACATACGAGAATAACTATTATTATTATAATATTGCACTAAATTTTATAGGATTAAAATGATTCAATTAACGGCTGGTTAAAATAAACTTTTTTTTCTAGAAAAATGTTGTTTTTCCATAACTGAATTTTTAGATGTTTAGTTCTATAATTTGTTTAGACTTTTAGCCTGTGTATTGTCTTTTTTGTATTGGAGGTATATTTATAAAATTATTTGTTGTAATCCTTCATAATTTTTAATTTTTATTTATATTGGCTGATATTATACAATTATAATTGTCTTATGACCATATTTGTTAGTTAATTCGTTTGTTCATTTTTGATTTATTTTAAAATTTCATTGTAGGATTTGACGGATGGCGTATTAGCAATAATTTAATTTTTGTTGATATGGCATCCATATTTAAATACCACTATAATGTTTTGTTTATATTTAAAAAATTTAAATTTAGATTTCCACGTGTTTCATAAAGTAAATAAAGAAAATATTTTGGAAAACACGGTTTTAAATTAACATTAGTTATCGCTGCATGTTTACGTATTTTTATGTTTATTAAAATATTAGGTTTTAAATAGTAATTTAAAAATTAAAGCGAAGGAAGCGATATACCAAAGTACAAAATTCATAGTTTATCAATCACTATCAGAAATGTATATTGGCTTAAAAAATTTGACATTTGAATCCAGAGATTGTTACGTATAATGTTGTTTTCGTGTATGTTTATTATTATATGGCTAAATATCGAAGGTTTTTTAAATATTTTTGGACTTTAATAATTTCGAACTTCAATTAGTTGATGTAATAATTGTTGTTGTCATGCATATAATAAGTGGGCCAGGACCATTTATATATTTTATAAGAGGTGGATTTTTTCGGGAAAATAAATACATATTTTTTTGACGATGTCAAAACAACCTACAATTTTATTGGTCTTACAAAAAAATAATATTACATGTATTGATTTTGATTTTTACTCTTTCGTGAAAAAAATTTGACTACATTCGATATTATGTATAATTTAACATTAAAATAGACATTTTTTTAATAATAAAAAACATGCTAATTTGATTAAAATTCGTAGCAGATTAAAGAATTAATAATACTTTTTTTTAGTAAAAATCAAGCACTATAAAGTGATGATTTTGAAAAAAATTTAATAAAAATGTGGGGTTAATATTTAAAAACTTATTATCTTAAAAACGAACAATAACATCAACTTGAAATTTTTGGAAAAAATCAAGCTATATAAGGGGACAAATCTTTTTGATATTGAAAAAATCTGATAATAAATGGGGGTTAAGAGGGGTTGAAATTAATAAAAAAAAAACAAATCAAAAATGAAAAGCGATATCAACATGAAAATTGTAGTAAAAATGAAGCTCTATAAGAAGATGAAGGTTATTGATTCTTAAAAAAAACCTGAATAAATTGGGGGTTAAGTGGGGTTAAAATATCAAAAAAAAATCCTAACTCAAAATGAAAAATTTTATCAACTAAAAATTTTTAGACAAAATCAATCTCTATATGTGGAAGAAGCCCTTTGATTTTTAAAAAAGTCTGAATAAAAATGGGGGATTTAGAGGGTGCTGTAAAAAAATCAAAAATAAAAAACGAAGAGCGATATCAACATGAAATGTTTTTAAAAAACAAGCTCTATAAGAAAATTAATTCTGTTAATTCTGAAAAGAAATTGAATAAAAATAGGGGGTTAAGGGTGTTGATATATTTAAAAAACGAACAATAATATAAACTTGAAATTTTTGACAAAAATCATGCTCTATAAGGGAACAAAGCCTATTGATTTCGAAATAATATAATTAATTATGGGGGGGTTAAGTGGGGTTGAAATTATTAAAAAAACAAATCAAAATCGAAAAGCGATATCAAGCTGAAATGTTAGGTAAAACTTAAGCTCTATAAGGGAAAGAATAAATAAATAAATAATAAATAAAAATGGGGGAGGGGGTTTAAAATATTGAAAAAATCGTAACAGAAACAAAAAACTGTATCAAATTGAAATCTTCAAGAAAAAGCAAGATTTATAAGGGAATAGCCTATTGATTCTGAAAAAATCTGATTGAAAATGAGGGTTAAGGGGGTCTGTTAAACTATGAACAGTATAATATAGAATGCCAATCTTTTATTTTGTGACATTGAAATTACAACACCCCGTAAATGTGAATACATTTTATTAACATTTTGGGAAGTTATTGGGATCAATAGGTCTGTTAAACTATAAACAGTATAATATAGAATCCAAGCATTTACTGTGGGACATTGAAATTGCAACACACAGTAAATGTGAATATATTTTAATATTATTTAGGGAAGTTATTGGGATCAATAGAAATAATAATCAATAAAATTATGAAACAAATTTATTGAAAGGTATTTATAAAAAATCAGTAGTGAGTTTTGCCTTCAAGTAAGTTTTGACACTTTGCAACTCTTCGTGACATGCTGCGAATCAGATGGTCGATACCTGCCTTAGGTATGTTTTCCCACGCTAATTTTATTTCATAACGTTTTCGGTCTACATCCATTATAAGAGCTTGCAATCAACCACCCTTCTACCTATCATATCCCATACAAGTTCAATGGGCAATAAGCCAGGTAACCTTGCAAACCATGGAAGTGTGGTTATATTAGCTTGTCGAAGAAAGTCTCTGGTAACTGCAGCGGTATGTGGTCTGGCATTGTCTTGCTAACATATGGGGTTTTACAGTTGCTGAAGGTATGACAACGTAACAGGCTGTAACACGTTCATGTTTGTGTATAAAAATACCAGTGGTGACCTGTTTCTAATTGCTATGGCACCTCATCCCATAACGACTGTGCTAAGCGCAGTCTCGCACTTTATGCAAAATTGAACTTGGAGCCTTTCTCTGACTCTTTTACGACCATCATGAGCTCACAAGCAGTAACGCGACTCGTCACTGAAAACGACCCTATCCCACTCCTCATTCCATTAAGACCGTTCATTCCAGTCTTCCGTAGATCCCACTATCCTGCCTCATTCAAATTAATTTAATTGACGATATTGAAGGCATTGCTAAACAATGTGTTAAATGCCATAAAAGCAATAAAACTAAATATCTTTTAGCAAATTTAACAAATAAAAATATACACTTATTATTTTTTGTTAAATTTTAAAATACTATGGTATTTAAAGATAAATTGGGACAAGAACGTTTACTACTCTTCATGTGAGCAATAAATTGTCAAAAAATAATAAATAGATCTGATCTTATACAGGGTGTTGCAATTTTAATATCACAGTGTATATCTTCCTTCTAGTTTATTAAATATTAAAACTAATCCCCAGTAAATTAATTAATTATATTTTAAATTTGTTAAAAAATATATTTCTCTTTTGGATGTATTGCATACAAAATTAGGCAGCATTATGTTGTCACATCACCATAAATATTGTATTTTTAGGCGGCTTAAATGAAATATTTATAAATTCTTATTATTTTAAATCGGACAAAAGCGGAACAAAACAGGGACACATGTTAAATTGGAACTAGTGGTTTAAAATATGAACTGTCTTGCATAAATCGGTATATATAGTTACTTTATGTTGGAGGGGAAATGGATTCATTTTATAAATAAGGTAAAAGATTTTTCTTCTTTAAATTACAGTGCGGATTTCATTCAGAGCAGTGGCGTACCCAGAAATGGATCTTGGGGTGAATAATAAATATTTTTATTGTAAATTTGAATATTCTATCAAAATTTAGTCGCCTAGTCCAGAAGCTGATACCACATTACATGACTGATCGATGAATTAAATCATCGACGATGATACAAACAGAAAACTCTTCTCTAAATTTCCGCGAAAACACCTCACAACAATTTTGTAACAATTTACATTTTTATTTATTAAGTTACTTCCAACACATGTATGACGTATTTGATTTAGTAAAATTATTATAAACCAATTAGGAGATCTCTTACTCTTATTTTTTCTTATGATCACTGGGGGATATGTCCCCTTTATCCCCCCTTGGATACACCACTGATTCAGAGGCTTAATTAGTTATCACGAGCATGACATTGTTGGCAATGACCTACTTTCGAAACATTCAAGATACCTAGTTCTAATCATAACTTTCTTAAGAGATATCAAAAATCTGTTTTTAATAAAACTTGAAATTATTCGCTGGTCTTCCCATGCTTACTGGTAACCTCGTTGGCAATCAAACAAAAATATAATATAATAGAGCAAGAAATAAAAAAAGATATTGATATTGATATTAATATTGATCCATATTAAGCACGCGGCAAGGGGCGCATCCCAACTCATGCTCACTAATCCTTTAAAAGGTAAAATAGTAAAAGTCTATATAATCCGTATCCCTATCTCGTGCTCGATTGAAAAATATACCTGCTCTAATTAACATCCAATCTTATCTAGGAACTGTTAAAAGATTTAATATAAAATTCTAAGGAACAGGCATTATTGAAAAATTCCTTGTACTTACTAGGAATCCGGAAAGTTTTTCTTTCGGATCTGATATTTATGAATGAGTTAGTTTTACTTCGTAATTGTAAGTGGTTAGAGCAGCTCAATAAACATGATACAAATTTAATCAAACCAGCAAAAAGTTAGAATCTGGAGAAATTAAGTGGTTATGTGTGAATAGAAAATGTGAAGTCTTTCTTCGAACAATCGGTGATTCTGGTGGTCGTGTAATAACCGAAAAAGTGTTAACACATAATCATCCAGCAATAGAAGAAAATATTATTCAAAGACATAAAGTGAGTGCATCTGCTAAACGAAAGGCCTCTGATGATATTTATTTATTCGAAAATGTTTTGAATTCAATTTAAATGAAGATATAAATTGTATCAAAAAATCAATTTACTATGAAAAACGCAAAAAGTTTCCAAAACTTCCATCGAGTACCGAAGAGGTATTTGAAATTTTAATTATTATCAATACATAAACTTTGCAAAATGAGAATTTTTTTGCTTATAAATGATTTGGAAATAAATCTAATTGTATTTTGTACTGAAACTCATTTGAAGTTTGTCTGTGAGTTGGTATATGTAAGGATAATAATTTGAATCTAATGCCTGAACAAATAGTGATTGATTTTGAAATCGGCATTCATAATGCTACGCCTCGATTAATTTGGAGTGATGCTAGATTGATAGGCTGCCGATTCCATGGTGGCGAATAATTCAAAATTTGGGACTATCATCGGAGTATAAAAACAAACAAACCGATATTGGAAAATTGCTACGTTACTGCGTTGATATTATGTTTTTAGATGCTGAATTAGTTAGCGACTTCTTTGTTTTTGAACTTCTAGAAGAAAAGCCCAACGACGAAAGATTAGCTGCATTTGCTGATTATTTAGTGTAAAATTATATATCAGAAGAGGTTTGTTTTCCTCATAGCCATTTAAATAGTTTATTTTATAATTCACACCCCTCATTATTTGTTTTTGTTGAGTTATTTATTAAAAATTCAAGAAGAGACGTACATAAAATGTCGCAGTGTAGATTGTAATAAAATTGTAAGAAATTCATTAAGAAAAAAAGCATGATTTTCTAAAAAGAACCATTGATAATTTTAAAAATAAAAGAGTAACTACATTTAATTTTGTTAAAACAATGTGGTATAATAGTCTAGAAGTGGTAGAACTGTAAAAATTAATACACGAACTACTAACAAAAATATAGACGTAAGGAAAGTAAATATTTAAGTACAAGGAGCAAATACAAAGTAGTAGTTACTCGTTTAAGCAAGAGTTACATGATATTCTTGTAGGCTAAACAAGCAAGGTTATGAGAATAGAACCTAAATGCGACCAGTTAACAACCGGCAGGTAATTTATCCAAATCATTTAAAATTAACACAGGGTTAATTAAGGACTTTATACTTTACTATTCAATTAAAAATAAATGTATTTATTTACAGTGGCGGCTGGTGATCAAAATATTGGGAATTCACGATCACAGAATATAGATTTAGGTAAAAAACTCTCAGTGTTTTAGAAATGTATATTATAAACACTGAAAGTTTTTTACCTTAATTTATAGTGAGATCTATATTGTATCATCGTGAATCCCAATAATATTTTGGTCACGAGTCGCCACTGGTTAATATATCTTTAGGTGGACTATATTTTTATATCAAGAGATAGCATACGCTGATGATATAACTCATTCCAATAAGGAGAAATTATAAGATAAAGGCTTTAAAAGTCCAAAATTATTTAAATAAAAACCAACAGAACGATTTGTACATTAATATAAATGAAGTGAAGGGTCCAAAAATGGACCTTTAGGGTATAATCGTTTATTCTAACTATGAAACAATAAACTGTCAATTTTAATAAAGGTAGTAAATGAAAAATTAAGATAAATTTGACAAACTAGTTCTAAAATTAAATTTAAAAAAAATACTTACCTGAATATGTGATGCGTAATACTTGGCAGTTGAAGAGAAGAAAGCTGCATTTGTGCTCAAAGCCGTGGGCCTGAGGGCAGAAATTTGCACTGGAATCTTAAGTAATCCCCACATGATATTACTAAATGAAATAATAAATTAAATAACGATAATACGAAAACGAATAATACTAGAACCCACGATTTTTCGGCAACTAAAAAATGTTTCGGTTTGCTGGTAAATTTATAAAATTTTCAATCGATTCGGACTCTGGCCATCTCTGGTTCGGACGAGCGTGATTTCTGTGAGATTAAAGGATTTGTATTTCTGTTATTATAGTTTTGAATGTAAACAATTTACAGACCTTATCTCATTTGCGTTATTAGTTTATCTTCTATTTTATAAAATACGATCTTCGAACACTTTGTTAGTGGTAATTAAAGTCTAAGATGGGAATATTTTGTGACGGATGGGAAACGTTTCTGGGGTTGGTAGGGTTTGTTGATAGTCAATATATTTATTTTTTTATTTATTGCATTTATACGGGGTGACAATTTAAACATTTATAATGGATATATCTCATGAACTAAAGATGATATCAGATATTGATAAAAATTGTTTCTAGGATACAAGAGGGGACACATAAATGATAAAATACTGAACTCACCCCCATCAAACTCCTATGCACCACCTACCTGAAAAAACAAAAATATCAAGCCATTTTTTTATTATTTTATTTTTTTGTGGGATTTTTGTATTTTTTTTATTATTTTTTTAATTTTTGAGAATTATATGTTATACAGTATGTCCCCCTAAGTTGGAATCATATGGAAAACTTTTTTATTATTCATTTTAGGAAAAAAATGTATTCCTCATAAAAAGTTCTGCATTATCTAAAACCTAGAATACAGTCATCAAATATCAAATTGTTTTAGTGGTATACGAGGTTTGTCAAAACATATGAGTTTTACTCAAGAGTAAAGTACCTTTATTCTTTATACGACTGATAAAATTTGATATTTGATGGTTGTATATTAGGTTTTAGACCATGCTCGACTTTTTATAAAGAACAACTTTTTTTCCTAAAATTAGTAATCAGATATCAAATTTTATCCGTCGTATAAAGAATAAAGGTACTTTACTCTTGAGTAAAACTCATATTTTTTGACAATCCTCGTATACCACTGACAAAATTTGATATTTGATGACTGTATTTTGGTTTTAGATAATGCATAACTTTTTATGAAGAATAACTTTTTTCCTAAAATTAATAATAAAAAAGTTTTCCATATGATTCCAACTTAGGGGGACATACTGTATATTTCATCGTGTCAATAACCATTGATGTTAGGACATGTTAAGTGTTAATAAAAAAGAAATGTAATTTGAAAAAGTTCTTCAGTTTAATGACTTCTATATAGTTATAAACAAAGTATTCTTATATGAATCACCTTATATTTTAATAAGATATTTAAAGAGAGTATTTAGAGATAAAGACCTTAATGATTACCCATAATTATGTTTTAAATTTGTATGGTTTAAATATTTAGGTTTTTTTACCATGTCACACACTATATTTTTTCTACGACCACATTACCAATTAATACTTTTCAATACAACCCTTCCCAACAAAACAATTCAAACAATCCAGGATATTGCTGGCCTTTTGGTTTTATTGAAAAAAAAAATTCATGCGATGATTAAAAGAGAAAAGCCTCCCAGCATTATCCCAGTCAAAGCTCCTCTATTTACCTTTAAAACCCGGTCATACATTGCAAAGAAACGTAGTGCGTAGCTATTTCGTAAATGAACCGACATGCGTTGCCTGGTGCGCTGTTGCCAGGCTGTGTAGTTTATCCCTTTCATATTTAAAAATAGTTTTTACCTATAACTCACTAATAGCAACAAGTTTGATAAATTAGAATGGTTTCGAAATATATTGCGACACATCAAGCGTGATTTTCGTACTTAGTGCAGCGTTTCCAACTCCGACGCATTGTGGGCAGAGATGTTACAATATTTCCCGAAACATTTCTAATAGTAAGTCTTTAAATAAAATGACATGTAACAGAACAAAAAACATATAAAATGTGTACTAAGTAGATTAAGCTGTTTTAACCGCTTTCAGCAGACTTGATATTTTAGCAGAACCTATTTTCACACCATTATGCAGGGCATTTTTGTACCTATCGTTTTTACATACATACGCTTGCTAAATAACAACTTTTTAAATACTAAGATAATTTATGGCAAACATCATTATTATTCCTGAAAATAAATGCAAGGATTTTAAAAGCGTTAAACGTGACACTACCGCAATTTAAAATAACATTGTTTCATTCATACTATACGTCACGGAGGTCACGTATAGTATTTTATCCATCGATAGTTTGCGACATTGCGATCCAGTAAATTGTTGCATATTGGGTGTTTTTGTTAATCTTTAGCCTTTTTTGGAAACATTTTGGCCTGTTTATAGCTAACAACATGGTTCGCGAGTGCCTTTTGTGCAAACAAACTGGAAAATGTGGGTGCTGAAGTATCTTTTCATAAGTAAGTAAGGTTAGGTGATAATGTATTGCATATTTCAGTGGTGTAGATTTCAAAGATCTTCCAACGTTATTAATTTCGCAAAAAATTGTAATTAATAGGAACATTTTAGTCTGCACTATAGTACTGAAATAAATATGCTTATGCTTGTTTTGTAGATTCCCAACTGAAAGGCATACAAAAAATATTTGGCTATCACTTGTAGGACTTGAAGAAAATAAGGGTATCCAAAAAAGAGTGTTATGCTCGGAGCATTTAAGTGTTTATTCTTTAAGATGAAAGTTGGTACTTTATCTTATACAGAAACTTTTATATTGTAAGTTCTTTAAATTTTGTAGGTGCTTAACAAGGACAAACTTTTTTATAAACTCACATTACATGCCTCTTTCTTTGATTATTTTCATGGATTACCTTATTATTAATTAAAATGTATATTTACCTTTACATTAAAAGTTTTGAATACTCTGTTACAGCTCTGATTCCAGTATCAGTATTTTTGACAGCCATAGTAAGAAACCAGAAGCTACTTTATCTATGCCGCACACATTTAGAAAAAACCTATTTATGGATGATAACAAGTTAGTTTACTGCCTAGTTCTACAAGTTAAAAACTATCAATGGATAGGTTTATTGTTGTACAGTTCTACGTGTTTTTGGATTTTACAAAATTCTTATCGCCAGATCCGCTATAAGAAGCGTTCCAATTAAAATCCCCACCTTGTGTATGGTAAATTTATTGATTTAATAACTTTTAAATTTATTAGTGTTAAAAATATCTCATTTGCCGATTTGTAAAAATGTTTAAATTTTAACCCCAAAATTGGAATCAAAAATTTGTTTAAAATAAATCTTGATTTATGTATCTTGTTTTTAGTTTATTTATTTTATTTTATGTAACATGTTTATATGTAATAAATATTGTAATATTCGTGAAAAAATATTGTTTTTAAGTTTTTTACCTACATTCAACTGAACTTCATACCCTTATTCCAAATCCATTCGGTTTTAAAGTTTAAACCCACTAATAAGAAGTAAGTCCTATAATTGGTTTTTTCTAGCTCATGTTTTTTGCTTGTTTTTGATTTTTTCGCCTGTTTTTGTTTTTTACTTGTTTTTTTTTTTGTTTTTTTTTTGTTTTTTTGCTTCCTTTTGCTTTTTTTGCTTTTTTTTTGCTTTTTTTGCTTTTTTTGCTTTTTTTGCTTTTTTTTGCTTTTTTTGCTTTTTTTGCTTTTTTTGCTTTTTTTGCTTTTTTTGCTTTTTTTGCTTTTTTTGCTTTTTTTGCTTTTTTTGCTTTTTTTGCTTTTTTTTTCCTTTTTTGCTTTTTTTGCTTTTTTTGCTTTTTTTGCTTTTTTTGCTTTTTTTGCTTTTTTTGCTTTTTTTGTTTTTTTTTTTTTTTGCTTTTTTTGCTTTTTGTTTGCTTTTTTTGCTTTTTTTTTTGCTTTTTTTGCTTTTTTTCCTTTTTTTGCTTTTTTTGCTTTTTTTGCTTTTTTTTTTGCTTTTTTTGCTTTTTTTACTTTTTTTTTTTGCTTTTTTTGCTTTTTTTGCTTTTTTTGCTTTTTTTGCTTTTTTTTGCTTTTTTTTGCTTTTTTTGCTTTTTTTTTTTGCTTTTTTTGCTTTTTTTTTGCTTTTTTTGCTTTTTTTGCTTTTTTTGCTTTTTTTGCTTTTTTTTTGCTTTTTTTTGCTTTTTTTGCTTTTTTTTGCTTTTTTTGCTTTTTTTGCTTTTTTTGCTTTTTTTGCTTTTTTTGCTTTTTTTGCTTTTTTTGCTTTTTTTGCTTTTTTTGCTTTTTTTGCTTTTTTTGCTTTTTTTGCTTTTTTTGCTTTTTTTGCTTTTTTTTTGCTTTTTTTGCTTTTTTTGCTTTTTTTTTGCTTTTTTTTTGCTTTTTTTGCTTTTTTTTTGCTTTTTTTTGCTTTTTTTGCTTTTTTTGCTTTTTTTGCTTTTTTTGCTTTTTTTTGCTTTTTTTGCTTTTTTTGCTTTTTTTGCTTTTTTTGCTTTTTTTGCTTTTTTTGCTTTTTTTGCTTTTTTTGCTTTTTTTGCTTTTTTTGCTTTTTTTGCTTTTTTTGCTTTTTTTGCTTTTTTTGCTTTTTTTGCTTTTTTTTTGTTTTAATTTTGTTTTTTTTATATTTATTTATTTTTGTTATATTATTTTTTATTTTTGTACATATTTTAATTCTTTTCGTCAGAGCTTTAAATTTAAAGAGTTTACATGATTATAAATAATTTTGGTAGTTAAATAATATTAAGAGATCTAAACAATTTTTATAACAGATGGATGTAAATAATTTTAGACCACTCTTCTTTCAGAAATAAGACTATAAAACACATAATTGCAATATGTAATATAACTTTGAAAAAATAATGTAAACAACTTTGAAAAGGTAATGTAAACAACTTTGAAAAGGTAATGTAAACAACTTTGATATGAAATATATTAACTTTGGTAAGAGTTGTAATTGGACATTTATGTATTATTCTGAGTAATATCACTTAAAAAATTTACAAAAAATCATTTATTTTTAATATTTTAAAGTTTGTTGCAATCTCTTTTGGCAGTATTTGCAATGTATTAATTATTTTAGTGATAAATGAGAAACAATTAATAAATTGTAAAGAGGGTCATGATATATTTGTCAAATTGGACATTCTGATTTCACAGTAACATTCCACTGTGGCGAAGTCACTAAATTTTAATTTTAATTCATTTTAAAAATGTATATTTCAATTAATTCCCGCCTGAAGACATGTAGAAGATCCCCCGTATTTCTGTTTCCCAGGAATTACCGTTGTTCAACAATTGCGAGTACCCTCGTAGGTTGAAATATTCCTATATTTGCCGAAATCCGAATGGGCATTTTGTAGAGTCGATTTCGTACCAATTATCTACTTTTATTTGTCAAGGTACTAGAGGAACATTTTTTTTATTTTTAAATTGTAAACAGCCAGCTGTAGTGGTAATATCCCCCACTCGGGCTTACCGGTCTTCCATCTTGCCCAGCGAAAAAGCATAAATTCGATCACATCTGGGAATTACGCTCTCTTGATTTCCGGCAGCCGTAAACTCTTCTCTCTCCTGCAGTGTCGAGTGAAATACTCT